TCTGGATTCAGTGTTTAGGTGCTTACTTTTAAAACCAGGTGAGGCTCCTTTCTTTATGGTAGGTCTATTTTTGTTTTTAAAATAAACTATATATATAAGGTATCTAGAGTCAAATTCATAAAAGACAAAGTAAAATGATGGTTGCCGGGAGCTGGGGGTAAGGGAAATGGGGAATTGCTGTTTAATGGGTATGAAAAGGTTCTGAAGGTTGGTCTCACACAATATGAATACACTTAACACCACTGAACTGTGTACTTAAGAATGGTTCAGATGGTAATTTTTTATGTATATTTTACTACAATTAACATTTTAAAAAATAAACTATAAAGTCTCCCACTTACTTAAGTTAGGAAAGAGGTATTCTGTCTATACTATCACATGGATGATCTGGGTCAGAATGTCTTCTCAGATATGAGACCCTTGCTGTTTTGTGAGATTGAGAGATTTCTTTCATATTTTTTTCTCATTTGTAATTTTAATCAAAGCACTGCTAATTCATTCTTTTTTAACTCTGTCTTATAAGCACCAAATTTTAATATCTAGGTAAACTTTTTGGGAAAGAAACACCATAGAGACTTTTCTCTGGAACAAAACAATGATATTCATTCCTCCAAACATTCAAATACAAAGCCTAACAAAACAAAAACAAGAAAAGCCCACACATTTTTAAAAAGTAACAAAATCACATTCTAGTGGTTCAGTGTGCATTTAGCAGCCTTCTCCCAGCTGTCTCATTATCTTCAGCTGGCTTTCAAAAAAAAAATAAAAAATAGCACCCTACTTCATCAAAATATACATTTTCCATTTCCTTTTTAAATTAAAAGTAATAATTAGAAAAAGAAAACTTGAAGAAATTCACCATCAATTGCCTGACTCAACTGGATGTCATGGCAGCATATGAAGATCAGGAAGGTTATTTGCAGCATACAGGATAACGGCATGCCGATCTTCAAGGTTGAGCTTTCTTCCAAACAGTGTAGAACACCCACAACTCCAAGTATGAAGGGACGCAGACGATCTCCTTCGAGAATTCCACAGGGCAATAGAGGCACCCAAGTTGTTGTTCATAGAGTGAGAGGGCTTCCGTCAGATTGACACCGTTGCCCTGTGTAAAATATTTCCCATCCTGCTTCATTACTTTCATTGAGAGGTCAAGAATCAGCCTGAGAAACTCCCATGTGGAATCTTCTTCCGGAGACGTGGAGATTGGAACAGCTGTCAAGTCATTAATCACATAATCAAACTTTCTGCCTTCTCTGACGTACCTCTTCAGTACCGGAATACAGTCTTCCACGAGAACCTGGTAGCAGTCTCCGGTAAGGTTGTCTAAGACGTCGCCACACGTCTTTCGCATGTATTTCTTACATCCGTCAATCACCATTTGGTCAATCTCTACCATAGTGGCCATCTTGGGTTTCAGTTTGACTATTTCACATAATATGCCCCCGTCTCCGCCGCCCAGGATCAGCACGTCTTTGCCCGTGTAATCCTCCTTGCCACCGCCCATGATGGCGTGGGTATAGGCCCAGTCACTCTCCGCCAGGTTAACATCCCCACTCAGGATGAGGATATTTCCATACTGCTTCGAGTGTAGAATCTTAATATTCTGGTAAGGTGAATCTTCATCATATACCACTTCATCTATGTCGTACTCGACCAGGCGGCCGTCAGCAGTCGGCCAGTATCTGTCGATGGCCCCTCCTCGAACGATGGGTGGCAAATGCTTCACCCGCCCAGGTCTGTCCTGACTCAGTTCTTTCATTCTTTCTTCTACTTTGTTCAAAAGACTGTCAACTTCTTTGGCTGGCGCATCGCCATCGTAACTCTGAAGGTCCAGCGACACCAATCCATGTGGGTAAATTCTCAGGTTGGCGAAGCTGCCGTTTTTGTTGATGTAGGTCGCTAAATAGCCGTGGTCCTGCCAGGCGTGCAGCGCCTCCGTCATCCCCTGCCCCTGGAAAACTGGCCGGAGGCCCTGGAGAATGGTCTCGCCGTCCGCCTCGGCGCGGAGCAGGAAGTCGAGGGTGCGGTGCCGCGCGGCCGCCATAGTGCGGCCGAGGCCTGAGGGGGGCGGCGGGAATCCGGGGCCCTCACAGCGGCTCAGGAGGCGGCCGGCGTGGGCTCCCTGCTCTGGGAGAGCTTTCGCATCCCGTCCAAAATCTCTTGTAGCAAATGACTGACCAGGGTGAAGTCCAATCGTAAGTCCACTACAGCCCCGTCGGCCACTGCGTGGCGAATCCATTTCCGGCCGTACCCAGGGGCGGCCCTAGTAACCAGGCAACGTCCAGAGAAGCGGCGGAAGGTACAGGCGAGCGCCCCAAGGGGGCGGAGCTTGGGTGAGATTCTGGGAGGCGACGGTGGGCGGGCCCGAGTGAGGCGGGTGGGAGGAGAGTAGCCCAGGACGCTGTTGCCTTGGAGACAGCCAGGGACTGCCGTCCTGAGCACAGCGGGTGGCCGGCGGCGGGGCGAGGGTCGCGAAGGCTGAGAGAGGAAGCAGGGCCGGACTCAAGGCCATGGCCGGACGCCAGAAGGAAAAGGAGATCCCGGATGAGGTGCATCAGAACCAGATTTTGCGGGAATTGTACCTCAAAGAGCTACGAACCCAGAAACTCTACACGAAGTACCACGTGAATCCCCTGCGCAAGGGTGAGGGGCGCCGTGGGTGGAGGAAGGGGACAGAGGCGCG